GGGCATCTCCATCGAGCGCCCGCCAGCAGCCCGGCACCGATAGAAATTTAGGCGTCTTCAGAGAGGGGAGGAAGATCCTCATCTTCCGAAGCTTCCTCAATGAGTGCCAAGCTCTCCAAGGAGTTGAGGCTGTCTCTGCCACCTTGTCTTCTGAACAGGACATCTGCCACCTTAAACACCAGCAGCACCTGCATCACGCAAGTGGGTCAACTCTTCCAGTCTTTCTCATCCACCCTGGTTTTAATTGTCCTGGTCACCCTCATCTTCTGCCTGATCCTCCTCTCCCTCACCACCTTCCACATCCACAAGAGGAAGATGAAGAAGCGGAAAATGCAAAAGGCTCAGGAGGAGTATGAACGGGACCACTGCACCCGCAGCAGCAATAGTGGCAGCCAGCACCGTGGGATGGGGGTGCAGGGAGAGGCACCCCAAGGAAGAGACAGCCGGCTAGGAAGACCCCCCCAGGACTCAGAGATCCAGCGCCCCTCTCCCTCGGCAGCCCCAAGCTCTCAGCAAGCACGGGCTTGTTTGGACACAGCTGGTGCGGGGCTCTTGCAGACGGTGATTTTGTCATGATGGTTTGGGGGAGACCTCACGAAGGCACTGGTTTGTAAATACCTGAGTGATTATTCTAGTCCCCGAAGAAGAAGAAAACATTGCTAATTCAAATGAACGAACAAGCCCACGAACCAAGCGCATGACAGATCACATTGCGTTTCTCATTGACTGTGCGAGGAAAGGATGCGTCTTTTTACTGGAGAAGGAGCTGCACACAGCTACCAAATATCAAATCGTCCACCAGGAGGAAAGGATCGGGATGGGGGATTCCTTTTCCCTGGACATCTTTACCCCAAGGTCTGGGATGATCCCATTCTCTTGGGATTCCCACTGCACCCTGTGTCACCAGTGCTGTGTCACTGCTGGGGCATGGGGGAGTGGCATGGGGGGAGAGGCAGGTCTGGCGGGTGCCTTGGGACCCCTTGCCCCCTTGGAGCAGGGAGACAGCCCACCCTGGTCTCTCCTTTTGTGCTAGGACCTATGCCCCTGTCCCACCCCTCTCGCTCCTTTCCAGGACTGTTTTGTGTAGAAGTGGCCACCCCTAGTTGGGCTTAACTGCACCCTCCAGCCCCACGGCCCCGTGCCGCTGAGCTGCAGCACTGAGTATCCCACCATCCGGGGGGATGGAGTGAGTTGTTTGCACAGAGCGATGCCTGAGCTTTCCTCTCCCCTTGGCTCCCCTCATGTCCAAATGCTCCTCCCCATGCCCATCCCCATCCCCATGCCATGAAACCTGAAACCCGCACGCAGTACTGTTTTGTGGAGCAGGGTGAAGTGATGTGCAGAAACTTGCCCATCCTCTCCCAGGAGAAATGAAACAAATCCAGTTCTGCACCAGGCACCCCGCACCGAACGCCTGCGTTTACAGCTTTGTCTCCCAGCAAGGAATTCTGCAGTAGTACAGAGCTGGCTTCTACTTTTTTAAGGCTGATATATATTTTTAACCCTCCTAATCTAGTAGGCAATTAGGGACAGACAACACTTAATTTTCCCCCCTTTCTCCTTTTAGGGAACAAACCATGCAGTTTTGCAAAATGTCTTAAACCCTGGCAAATATTTATTTCAGAAGTGGCTGGGGGGGGTTTTTCCCTCCCGGGCGCAGGGGGGG